CTGTGTGCTGGTTTTGGGCTTTCATTTTACCATGTGAAGGGCTGTCGCTTTCTGCTCTTCCGGTGCGGTAAGTAATGGGAATGTTGGTTCCTTTTTTTTTGTTGAAATGGCCTCTATCAGGTGAGCCTTCTAAGATTAAAAAGCTTCCTTGCCTTTTTTTCTATTTGTTATTATATTAAGGCACTCCCCGAGTAATCACACATGAAGCTCATAGCATTACTAGAGACTAATGCTCGGAGATTCTTAGATAATGATCAGCCTCTTAGTGCTATTTCACTAACTGCCATTTTGCGCGAGATGAAGCCAAAGTCACCTCAGTATTCGCTTCTCCATGCACGAGCTCTTTTTGCTGCACGGGAATACGATCTGGCTTTTCGTGTTGCGACTGATGTATTGAATGACGATGCGGCTAATTCAGAAGCTATTGTAATTGCCATGAAATCAGCGTACGAGTTGGGTGACACGAAGGAATGCTCAGCTTTTGCAGAGCAATTGAAACAGACGTCATCAATGAATGTCCTGGCGTTATGCTACCTAGGCAGATGTGCAGAGCTCTCTGGTGACACAAAGAAGGCTGCACAGCATTATCAGGCTGCCTTGGAGATAGATCCTTTTTGCGGGGAACCAATGAATGCTTTGATTGAAAAGCGTCTGTTAAACGTCACTGATCTTTGTGCCGTTGTGGAATCGTTAAGACTTCCACCTGAGGCTGAGGTTCTGCGTGCTTCCTACAAAGCTTGTCTTCCATGTGAATCAGTTTCACAGGACCATCAGAAAAATATTCCCAGGACCATATTAAAGTTACAGGCTGCTACAGCTGAATACGAGAAGAACGATTTGCAGAAGGCATTAAGCTTGGTGACCGAATTACTAGAATTAACTCCTTTTAGTCGAGATGCGGTGTGCCTACATCTTTTGATTCTAGTTGACGTGAAGGCTACTTCGAAGCTTTTTGACCAAGCTCACTTCTTGTGCAATAACAAGGCTCACGCTGAACTAGCAGTGTACGCCATCGGTTGCTTCCATTATTCCCTGTCTAATTATGAACGTGCAGGCCGTTTTTTTAGCAGAGCAACGGAATTGGATGCTTCTTTTGCCGAGGCATGGATTGCCTATGGTCACTGCTATGCAAAACTGGAGGAGGGTGAGCAAGCCTTAAGTGTATACAGAAGAGCAATGAATTCTTTCCCAGGTCTTCCGTGCTGCAGCACGTTTGTTGGAATGCAATATGGCCGAATTCATCAATGGCGGTTGGCATCACATTTTCTTGAAGAAGCTCGTCTTGTCATGCCAAATGATTCACTCGTACTAAATGAGATTGGTGTTCTGCATGTGAGAACTCACGGATTTCAAGAGGCCCTCCGGTTTCTTCGAATGGCTTACCAGTCTCTTGCAAATCCGGAAAATCCATCTGAGCACCGGGATTGCATTATTTTTAATTTAGCAACGGTTTATCGAAAGCTGCAGTTTTTTGAAGAGGCCGTATCATTCTATACTTTGTATGTAAAATGCCGCCCCAATGCCAGTCATGGTCATTGTGCTCTGGCATTTACGTATCATTTGATGGGAAATTTGAAGGCGGCAATTGCTCACTATCACACAGCCTTGAGTATCAAGGCGGACTCATTCTGCCGCGACATGCTTGATCGCGCCTTAGGAATGGAATTTGGGGAAAATGCCCTTGGATCTGCTTGGAGAACAGAAGGTGTTTTTGGTTCCCCTTCTCCAGATGATGTTTCTTTTTCAACAGTTTCAAGAACTCTTCGTTCTGAGTCTATGGCTGGTGATAGCATGGGAATGTCGCCTCACCCAAGTGTCGGGCGAAGTTTACCTTTTTAATTCACTTTCATGAAGACATAGGAACAGTGATTTTTTACAGGCAATTTGCTTCTATATTGTTGTTGAGGAGTTTTATTTGCCGTCTTCTTGTTATATTTAACGTGTTGCACATATTTAGTTTTAGAGAAATGGGCCGTATAGAGAATTATGCTTCCATGATGGATTTGGATAAGTCTATCGTTAAAGACTTCTTAGTAGGTATGGGAAATGTTCCAGAGGAACAGATAATTAACGAACTGCTGGAATTGAAGGCCGTGATAGGGCCCTTAGATCCTAAAGCAGCTAGGGATATTATTGCCAGTAAGTCCGGAGACCAAAAGGGAACAATACATTGCCTTCAACAACTCCAAGACACGCATGCAATAAATGAAGGGCCGAATTGCCATAAGAAAAAGAATCCCGAGAAATCCAAGGAAAAAGGATTGTTTGGGTGGTTCTTTGGGAAAAAATCAAAACAAGGATCGGCGAAGTCTAGCGAGGCGTCTAGCGATGAAAAAAAACAAGAGGAATTGACTCATTCACCGCAAGTTGCTGAGATACCCAGCAAGCCTTCCACAAGTTCACCAGAAGTAGTTCCGTCTCCAGAAACTGTGCAGAAATCGCCAGTGACTATTTTGCTTCGCCAAACTGGGATGAGATACCCCGAGGAGGAACAAGTAGCTAGAGAGTATGACTTTACACGTCATGCTAATAACACGGCGTATTCATCAGAAATGGAACCTGGTGAAGAGTTTCGCATAATTTACAATCAGTTTCTTAGGACGGCGTCAAAGTCTTAGTTTTTTTTTTTTAAAGACACACTGATGTCTACAGTATTTGGTACCTGTTGTTTTTTGTCCTGCAAAAGCTCAACGAATGATCTTTGCAACCTTCTGCTTGTGTCCATGTAGAAAATGTTCTCTTGGACGTGGAAAAGATTAGCTGTCTCAAAGGCAGCAGCTGAGACCTTCATGGACTATATTCAGAACGCTGATCGAGAGCTGCCTGCTCTCAGCGAAATAATGCCACGACACCAAGCGAACTCCAAGAGCCTTGTGGAGTTTCACTCATTTTTATGTGAGGTGATGCAGGAGAATGGCTTCAATTTTATGGGCATAAAAGTGGTTCCTCCTTCCGCAGGGGCTTTGCAGTCCTTCAGGGCAACAGATGCTATGTGTATGCCCATATTTTCAAACGCGTTTCAGAAGAACTCCTTGTCTGTGAAGCAGCAGCGTGTGCAATTTGTCGAGCCTCTTTTTGTTCTACGGTTAGGCTGTGATGCACCACGTCAGATAGCAGTGGGCTCAGCGTCTGCCATATGTGATGCTTTTCTGCCTGGTATAGAACTTACTGGATCACGATATCCATTTTACCCTCCTCATGCCACAGGATATGCTGCGGATTTGGGCGGGTGCATTGGCATGCGTCTTGGTGAAGAAACCGAACTTAGCAAAACTCCACTGGAAGTATTGGGGAACCATTGTTATGTAATGACGCGAAAGGACGAACCTGTCCAGGTTGGATCTGGCAAGAACTGTTTGGGGAGCCCATGTGCAGCAGTGGCTTTGGCAGTTGACTACGCTATTTCTATAGGGAGGGCCCTTTGTCGGGGGCAGTACGTCTTTTGCAGCGGAACAGGACCACGCTCTCCTGCCGTTCCGGGGGAGTATAAGGTTAATTATGGTGTTTATGGTAGCGTTACATTTTTACTTGATTAAAATGATCTCAGGGGTTTTAAGACCGTATGTGCGATTTGCATCTTGGTTTCTTTAGAGGGGTTTTCTGCTCCTTTGCTTAGATTATTTCTCCCTTTTGACCTGCAATGAAGAAATGATCATTCGAATCATAGGTGACAACTGGGTTCCGGAGGACAAGGTCCTGATTAGCGTACGGGAAGATGATGCTGTGAGCTCATCTCTCCCAAACATCATGAAGAAGCTTTCGATAAAGCGGATGGGGGACTTCAAGGTGTACCATGCAGTTAGAGAACGAAAATGTGATTATGACCGACCCATTGATTATAAATGCACCTGGAGACAACTTGGTATTTCTGGTGGCAGCGCTATCTATTTAAGCAAGAAGGAGCCCCCATCGCTGGAGGAAGCACCAACGGCAGCTGACAATGAACAAAACAAGAAGCAAAATGAGGGTGCTTCAGTAGACGTTCCTCTGGAGCATAAAGCTGCTGATCCTGGCGATGTTCCATCAAGCTTTGACAGTGCCCAAGTAGAACGTGGCGCTTATGTAGATTTGATATCTCAACCCCCACACGGTTCTTCGCCTACTTGTAAAACAACAGTAGAACCGCTATTGACTCAACCACCGCAGCAACCTGAACTAAAAATTTCCGTTCCACCAGTGCAGCCGTACGATGGTGAAGTAAAAACAGATCTTATTGTATCGAACACCTCTCACGCTGGCTTTGGTCAAAAACAACACGAAAACCTACTTCCCGTCGATAAAATTAACTCTTTACGGGTTAATAGACCTGAATTTGAGGTTAAAGATGGTGGTGGTATTCCTTTCACACCAGATATTAACCATCGTACCACTTATGATTTTCAAATCCCGGCTTCACGCGTTCAAGAAGAGAGTCGTGCAAATATAGTAGAAAGTAATGTCACACTCCGTCGGTGTGAACGTGCAGCCTACGTGATTTCACTGTATGAGTTTGCGCATCTGGAGTCACAGAGGCAACTCCGACGAGCAGAGGAATTACGCCGTGAAGCTCAGCGAGGCGTGCCTCGCTCACAGTTGACGATATCTGAACCATTGTACAGAATATGAAGGAGTACAAAGCTTTAAAATATTTATCGAGTTGTAACTTTGTGAGCAATAGTCGACTTGGCTGCATCAATAGTGCTGCTCATTGTGTTTTTCCCCCCCTTTCTTGGACATTGATGTTTCGCACGTAGAAAATATATTCCCTGCGACGTGGAGAAGCGACACGATGTCACTTGTTGAGAGTCAGAAGGGTATGACGGATCTGATACCTTGCAATGAACAATGCGGTGGGGACTACGATACATATTCCTTTGGCCAGGGTGACACGGAGGTAATTGTTACCATTCCGCTTCCTGAAAAGACAACATCAAAGATGATTTCTGTGGAGATTACGACATCTACGTTAACTGTGAGCATTAAGGGCAAACCACCTATTATTTCCGGGGAATTGTACAAACCTGTCAAAGCCAGTGAGTGTACGTGGTGTATTGAGGACAAGAGAATATTAGTGATCACTTTGGTGAAAACAAACTTTCAGTATGAGGAGTGGTGGCCTTGTGTCACAGTGGGTGAGCGACAAATAGATATGAAAACTTTCAAGCCCCCGATTAAGCACGTTTCAGAATTAGACGAAAGTGCACAGGCAACCATCGCAAAGATGATGTTTGATCAGCGACAAAAGATGCAAAACCTTCCGACTAGCGATGAGCTGCAGTTAGAGGAGATAATGCGGCGCGCTAGAGGACCAAGCTAATTACCTGGCGTCACCTTGCGCTTCCGTTGCCATGAATGGACAATTAATACGTTCTCTTTTACTTCTACAGCTACCATTGCTTTCCTTTTCTTCAGTCATCCATGGAGGGGTGGAATGCACACATATACATACAGGGGCTTTTTAAACACAATCATTGCAGACTAAAACTCGGCACTGTTTTAACATGATTTGACCAATATTCTTTTTTCTTTGTAATGTGCTCTGTTTTTCCTGTAGCAGTCGAGAAATATTTCTTGATAATCAGGGATATGAACCCTGTTTGCCGGGGAAGCTTAGTCAAAACGCTAGAACCACCAGAATCTTTTGACGATTGGCTTCTTGGAACACAATACTCACAGAAGTACATGGCGAAGTTACGGCTTACGACACAATCGAGCCCCGCCCCTGTCTTCAAGGGAGGTAGACCAAAGAATATCAATGACTTAAAACCAAAGGCTCATCGAAACACACAACTGCAAGTTGTTTCTCGAGAAAAAAATGCTACAGCCAGTGGTGATGTACAGTCAGAGGATACGCCCGAGAGATATTCACCAAACAACCCTGCCAGTGAGGTGAGAGGAATGCGGACAGCTACTAAGGCAGGCATTCCTGCACGGCGCAAGAACGGCGCTTCTTCAAGAAATGGGGGGACATTATCAGTCCATGGAGAGGAGCCGTTGCAGGACCTGGCGACACGGGATCTTCTTTGTGAGTCGTATCATCAAATGAAAGAGGCATATACGGGGAGTTTTCCTCCTCTTTTAAAACCATATGAGCGTCCATTCTGGAAGTACAAGGCAGTAGATGAAACGAACGATGACCATTCCACCCACGACAATGTTGCACCACAGGATGGTCTATTGCCCACTGCAACACTGGTGTCGATGCACCTGTACGATATCTTAGACGTTCCTCTCAATCAGCGACCCACTATGGCTAGGCTGCATTACCCATCAGGCCCCCCATCCTTTGCACCCACTCCGTCTGCTTCCAGATGGCTCAGAAGCATACACTAAATCCCCGATGTATAAGAAGGACAAAAAACAAATAAATAAATCAATATTGCATGATTTATTTTGTTTTTTTTTCTTTGTTCTCATTCTCCCTGTCTTTGTTCCATCATCATCTTGCTGTGATGGGATGTGCTCATTGACTCTGTTTGGTCGTTCATGTTCAACACTCTTTGGATTTTTTGCCTTTCCTTCCTGTGAAGCTTGATTGTATGATGTATGTTGGTGCAGTCAACAGCAATATCTATCGTTTTAAAGTCACCCTTTTTTTTCACTTTGTCTATTCCCTGTGTTGTTGATCGCTGTGTAGTTTCTCAAGTTCCAGACATGGGCAAGGTTCACGGCTCGTTGGCGCGTGCTGGAAAGGTGAAGAACCAGACCCCCAAGGTCGCCAAGCAGGAGAAGAAGAAGCAGCCCCGCGGCCGTGCATTCAAGCGACTGAAGTACACGCAGCGGTACCTCGCCAAGACGCTGAAGCCCGGCGAGAAGCTCCGCATGAACAAGCAGCCCCCTGGCAAGGCTGGTTAAAAGAAGTGGGACTCCCAACGAACTCATTCCTTTGTTTTGTGTTTTGAATCCGCTTTTGGCTATTTGTATGTCACCATGCTTTTCCGGGCGAGAATGCACCAATGGCTTTTTGAGCTTCTTAAAGAGTTGCCGTTCTCTACACAAAAAGGGGTTCCTGTTTCTTTTCTTTTTTTTCTCTTTGCCTGTTTTTGTTTTTGTTTTCAATCTGCCTGCCCGCCATCTAAAACAAAGCTTTAGCCATGGGTGCTTGTCAGGCCAAAGAGTCCCAAGTTAAGAAGTCGGCGGCCCCCACGAAGACCCAGACTATTTCCTATACCAGCCGCAACACAAAGCCAACCCAGAAGACCGTCGGCAACGCAAGCCCTGGAGCATCCCCGCGGAGTTATGATCAGCATTCAGGAGCAGAACAGTACCTGCGCTCACTCCTCGAGGGAGCGGAGGCGGTCTTAGGCGGTGGATTTCACTTCAATTCACCGGCAGAGCAACACTATGTCACTTTGACCTTCATAAATTCATGTGTAGAGGTTACGCGCACAAAGTTCCGCCTGAAAGTGGAGGTTGTTGTTGAAATCGTCACAAAAATTGCGCGTGAACTTAAACTTAAGACCATTTTAAAGGTTGTGCCCGATGTCAAGGAATGCTGCGTGGATGACGGATTTGCTCGTCTTCTTAACGCGTGGTCTGTGGATCATACTGGCCTCTCAAAAGCAACGCCTGCGAGTGCTGGAAAATCAGTTGTGGATAGCAAAGGAACGAAAAATAATAATCATACACAGAGTAGTTTCTTGAACAATCTATCCTCCCACCTGTACTCAGCGACCATGGTGCCAACAACGATGGATATATTTCCTACCTTCGCACAGGGAGGGGACATCATGAATGAAGAGCAGTTTGGAAAATTTCTTCGGGAGACACAACGCAATGATGTAACAGACAGCCAAGTCATCGAGAAGTACAAATACCGCTTTGGAGGGGCGATTCATAGATACAACTTCAACACTTACATGGGAAGCTTGTTGACCAACAACGCTCTAGATCCATTACGGACGGCAGATGCTTGGCAGGACATGACACAACCGTTGACTCGTTATCTGATCAAAACAACGCGCATTGAAAGCAAAAATGATCTCGCGAGAGCCCTGACAGACGGCTCTAGGGCATTTGTGTTGAATCTGAATAAAAACGAAGCCGGCGTGCTCTTTAGCGGGAGCTGTCCACTGAATGATATTTTGGTGGGTATAAAGACAGAAGGATTTTTGGGTAGCCCATATCCCATTCTCTTGTGTTTGTCCCCGAACAACAACATGCCCGTAAAACTGAAAGATGAGCTGGCCGAGAATCTCACAAACGTCCTTGGGCCCATGTTGGCCAAAGGCCTTATGTTTGAGGGAGCCATCATAAGCGATCCAAAATTCAGCCCTGCGGCACAACGAAAAAAAGTACTTGTTCTTGGATATCAGAGCAAACTAAAACCATTTGTTGGCTGCCTAGTGGCAGACATGAACCGAGATGGTCTTGGCGTGCGCGTGACAGATGTCCTTAATGGCACCCCGGCCGCGAAGGGTGGATTGACGAGGGATGACTGGTTGACTCATCTTAACGGTGTGGCTATCAAGAACAAGCAACATATGCGTGAACAACTTTCCAAACTAAAACTCGGTGAGGAATTCACATTGCGAAGGGAGAATTTGGAGGAAATCAAGATAGTCGTGGGAGGCACAGTTGACGCAGAAGACAAGAGTGAATCAACCACCCTATCGAATATCTTGTTTTTGAAATACACGGCGAAAGATAACCCTGGACCATGGGAAACACAGATCTTCACGGCAAAAACCATTCATGGCCCGGCAGTGAGTAGAAAAAAACTTGACGACCATTTTGCCTTTTATTCTAGCGAAAGGGGCACTGACAATGTGGATTATGTTGACATTGCCACTCGCATGGGAATTCAGCTGATCGACAGTGGGAAGACCTGTCAATATCCTACGTGGGCAAAGGGCCGTTTCGTGGACAATGGACACACCGGTTATCTTATCAAGAGTGATACGGAAGAAAAAGGAACCGTGAATGTGACGGTAGACATTATTGCTGGCCCTCTGGAGATCAATGGACCGCCCTTGATAAAAGGAACGGCCCGCGTGTACGGCACTGGCTCTGCCCGTGTAGATGAGAGGAAAGTTACATTGAAGGGATGTAACGATGCAACGGTGGCAGTGATTGAGTGTGAGTTTGCGCAAAATGGCGGCTCGTTTTGCTTTACTGCCGCTTTCCCTCCAGCGCTTTTGCGCGACGGGTATCGGGTTTTGCCGCTTGAGCAGACTGGAGGCCCCAAAGACCTTGGGGTATCCACAATTGGTGCGTACTGCTTCATTCGTCGGAATAAGTAAGGCAAGCTTGGAAATGAGAAAGAGAGGTATTCGCGTCGTGCAATGGTAAGAGAGTGAAGAGGAATGCAAGCAAACGACAACAATAAAGACAAAGAATTGGGAATATATGTAACGCAGAGGAGCCGTGCCTGCGCAGCCAAATAGTATGACAAGAACTGGAGGATGACGGTGACGGCCTGGCAGTACTGACAGTGGTGACGAATGGACCTTTCGATAAATATCGTAGAATTGGAACCAACAAATGATTTGTACAAGAAAAAGGGAAAGAAATGATTTCCCTATTTGAGGTTGGTGCCCTTTCTGGCGACTCTTCGCGGCGAGCTGGGCTGGCTGAAGAGGAAAGGACCAAATTCTACGATTAGCAATGTTCTTTGGATTTTGACCGCGCTGGAGAATTAGGCTGGTACGAGAACAATCGGGGAGCATACTGCATCTCCACAAATCCTTTCTCCCACTGTCTTTACGTACCACTTTCTCCCTTCCTTTGTTTTCTTTTCTTTTTTATCTTCCGTGTGTATTCACTCTCATTTTTTTTAGGTGTGCGTTTCTTTGTATATTCCTCAGTTGACTGGATTGGCTTGAATGCTTCTCGGAAGCAAAAAAAAAAAGAAAGTGAACACTCTTTTCCATTTTTTTTTTGTTTTTGGAAGGGTGAACACACGCAATTAGTGGAAACCATCCATTTCTAGGTTTGCTTTTGTTGTGGAAGGCTGATGTTTAGGCGAACCTCCCGGCGGGCACTCGGGTACACACCTGTGAACCCGGATACCTCGCCCATGATCGCCTACAGCCAGTACCATTGGCACTACAACCTTCCACAGGGAATGGAGCGGCCACATGCGGTCAACAGAACGATGTCGGCCCCCTACCAGAGTCCTCACTCACTTGTCAACAAGTACCGTGGCGTGTGGATTGAGTTTGATATGCATCCCGCGTTTCGTGTTGCTTTAGAGCCGCAGTTATGTAAGCTGCCCCACGGCCGTACTCTCCCCAAGACTGCTGTTGAGGAGGTTATCTCGGATTTCACAAGCATGGCTCCACTCATCGATGACGAAATGACAAGGGACCTTTGGTTAGCCAAGGTGTTTCAGCATTGTGCTTTCCAGCGAAGTGGTGATGCTATGCTTTTATGGGAGAAGTATTGTCATCCACGTTTTGCGGCGGACGATGCTACAGCAAAGCCACCACTCCCTTTGGTGAAAGCCGCTTTATTTTTTTGCAGCAAGACGGACCACAGTGGATGGAAGCCCATCTTTGAGAAATGCCTAAAAAACGGCTGGAACTTTACTCCTCTTTTCGACACGGCGCAGTGGAGTTTCCTCTTGAAGAGTGTGGGCCGCATGGGTGACGAGCATGGCGTGCGACTCCTGTTGGAAGAGATGCTAGATGTGCAAGCTGATCTGGATCGCGTCGAGTCCCGATCCATCATTATCGCACTCAACGCTGTGAAAGACAACAACAATTACGAATTCCTGAAAAAATACTTGTTTAACTTTGGTGAACGCAAGGTGAAGTTCCTTCGCATCACGTACTCAGACCTTCGAGGTCATGGTGCGGGGAAACTGCGAGTTCCCCTTGAGGAGAACGACAAGGTGTATTATCACGTCTGCTGGCACAACAGCATACGCACTCCGCGAGAGTTCTCACCACGTCAATTATACTTTGACCACACCCCTTCGACCCTGGGTACGAGTGCACACAACCCGAACGCGAAGATTGACGATATAGTGAAGGACAAGATTGAGAAATGGAAGACAGAGGGGCTTTTACCGGAAGACTACGTGCACGAAGACCGTGTTTACGATCGCGGTGCTGCCTTCAAGAACGTTGCTCGCCAGGAGAAGTGGAAGAAGTGGCCAAAAATAGTGAAGAGCAAGAAAATGGGTTATACAGGTGATCCGTGATAAACCCTTTGTTTTGGTATCACAGTGCGCCGTCAGGCTGTGTGTGCTTTGGAGTTGGTTTCATTACCATACACACACACACACACACACACGCACACAGACACACAGGGACACATACGTACACACATACCGAAAGATTTCACCCCCTGCGCAAAGGAAAACCCCAAGAGTACAGATCAGGACGCCTGTGTCCGTGTTGTGCCCGTGGTTCAGTGCTTACGGGCTGGAACACGTTTTAGCGTTGGTGTTGTCGTTCTTTCTGTTGGATAAGTGACTTTCTTTTTTTTGCACAGCTCTGGTGCTTGTGGTGTCTTTTTGGATGCCACAAAACGCATACAAGTGTATGTGTGAGGGGGTGCTTGAGCGCCCGCTGGAAAGAAGAATGAACGCCCCGTCTCATATATGTATATATTTGTATCATCCGATTTCGTTTTCACAGTATCAAGCCGGTTTGCCTTTTCTTTTTTTTGCTTCTTCTACTTTCACTATAAGAACGCAAGAAAAGCGGTGAGGCGCGGAGAGGTAAGGAGAAAGACTGTGTTCGAGGTCCAAGTGGTGGCGGAGGTGACGGAATGCTGCGGAGGTTCTCCTTCCTCTGGTCCAATGCCCTCCACAACCCCAGCCCCTTTCTCGACGGGGCTCTGCAGTTGATAAAGCTGCATCTTGCTCACAAGAACGCCGCAACAGACGGCAACATTAAGGCATGCCGCGCCATTGAGAGTGAATTTCTGCGAGAAGTGGAGACATTTCGGCCGTGTTTCACAGTGTCTTCCTCACTGACTGTGACAAAACTTTATACTAAGAAGTTGCACAGTGCCTTGTCATACTTTCGTCTTCATGATGATCCTCTCATGCGTCAGCTTGACCTCATTATCGGGAAGCAAAGCATGCGTCGAAACTCGGGGTGCCAAGCTGGCATATTTAAGGCGCCAATGAGCACCCAGCAGAATGCGTTTTCTTCACTGGAGGAAAGAGAGGAAACGGTGCTACCGACGGAGCTTCCAAATCCACCCAAGCCGGATTCCTTCACGCCGCTCCGTGAGGGGGCATTGCGGATGCCGGTGCGCCACCGTGGACACTGGGTGCTGCGCGACCCAGAGATTGCTATCACACGGGAGGAGCGGCGAAGTGATCCTTGGTAGGTGCTGCCTGTGATATTGTCAGCAGCTGTGCTGAGTGTTTCCTGTTTTTCAGCAGCTTCAGAGGTATGTGCACTGTGTAAGGCTAAGCGAGGGCCAGCCGTTTATAGGCCTGTCTCTGTTCACCCTTTTGCTGTAGGAAGTCCACGGTTGTCGCCGTGTGCATCATCGCAAGCAAAGCAGTAGGATGAGGGAGTGCTCCGCGGCAGTCGCGAGCATACCCATCGCGATGACTTCAGGGGCACCCTGCGTACTCACATCTTCATCGTTTCCTGATGCTTTGCATAACGGGCCCCATGACCTTGTTTGTGACAGTGACTCACGGTGGGTGCACAAAACGGCCCACTTGCTGGGTGATGTGCGCTCATCTGGTCTCCTGCTGGCGGAGACGATGGTGGTTGTCCGTGGGGACATCACCACGGTGACATTTGGGGAAGCCGTCATCCTCTGTGAGGGTTGTGTCCTGCGCCCACCGCTGCGCGCCTTGCTGAATCGAAGCGTAGCCGAATCAACACCGGTAACGATGGGATCCACAACAGTGATAGGACGACGTGCGGTGTGTGAAGCGCATTCGGTTGGAAGTTACGTGCTCGTTGAGGATGACTGTGTGATTGGGGAATGGGTGGAAATCCCTGACGGTGTTTGGCTGCGTTCAGGCTCTGTTGTGCCGCCTGGCATGAGGTTGGCTCCGTACGTTGTGTATGAGGGCCGACCAGCACATGCAGTGGCCACCGTGGACGCGGAGCTCCACCAAATATCTATGGAGGAGCGTGTGCGCGACGTGTTCTCTCTCCTGTCGGCCCCGTCGTCGTGATGAGGATGTCTCTCTCTCTCTCTCTCTCTCTCTCCCCCCCCCTGTGTG